ATGTAATTACCCAGGGTTAGTTGATCAGTTGCCATTTTTATGCGCTTTAAATTCAATATATATTTGGGTTTTATTGATCGTGTGACTTATATTAACTTATATTTATCGTATACTTTATATTAAAATAACAAGGTTTTGTTATACAGTAAAATATTATATGTTGATTATAATGTATTAATGAGGTTAAAAAAGAATGTAATTTTTTAAGAACCAACATGAAATTGTTTCATTTTTTATATTTTATAATTAAATAACGAAGATTGTTATATTTTAATGTTATTTATACTGTACTGTTAAATATTATTTGATCTTTGAATAAAAATAAAGTATTACATTTTTTTTTCTTATAATATAGGTACTGTTTGTCTATGTATTTTCATAACCTAATACAGAAATTATGTTAAAAAATAAAAATAATAATTTTTAATTTTTGGTAACAATAGCCAATAGGTGATTATAGTAAGGCCAGCGAAAAAAGAGCCACTTGGGGCGCTACAATTGTGGCTAATTTTTCGCTGGCCTTACTATAGTGATAAGTGATAACTGATAACTTATTAATTATTAATAATCATTAAATCATATATGTATATATCACGTTGAAAAACTTAACTTTTATACGTAATATAAAAAAAAAATTACCTTAAAGTAATTGTTAGACGTTCCTCAGCAGATATCGGTTTTCGAAATTCTGTAGTATTTTTCGTTATATATGGCCGTAGAGTTTTTAGCAACTCATCAAAACTTGAAATTGACATACGGTAATACTCATTTCTCATAGAATTTATCAGGATATTGTCTAATATTTTCAAAAAATGTCGTAAACTGGCCTATTTTCTCACGATCCGTATTTAGTGGGTGTACCCAATACCTTCGTTTTGCTTTCGGTGGATCTAATAAGCCTAATGCTTCGGCTACAGCAACAACTTTAATTTTTTGACGATTCATTTAATCTATATTTAAATGTATTTAATATAAACTAATTAATAATATTATATTATATAACTACGATTGAACACATTTATAAAATACAAGTATAGTATATATTTACTTATGGAGTGTTCAAAAAATAAATTAAAAAATACAAAAATGTAATAATTTTGACACACTTTAATTAGGTAGGTACTTATTTAAATATATTATACTCGTACCTGTAACGTTATAACTGACAAGTAATATAATAAAATAATTTTGCATAAATTACGTAAGTAATCTAGGTCTACCTCAGAGAGCGTAGATACGTTGAATGCAGGGGCGGATTTAGGTATGTGGTGGCCCCTGGGCGGAATATACTGTGGGGGCCCCTTATAAATAAACAAGGAAATATATTTTTTTACTTATTGAATAATATTTATTATTATGTTTAGTAGTAGTAACACTAGTAACAATTAACTACTATTTAGAGCAATTTGATATGACGGAAATAAAAAAAATATTTAAAATATGTACCTAATGGAAATTAAACTGATAAGACTTTTTTAAATTTGTATTTATAATATTAATGCGTTTGATTTTCAATTTTTATTATTATTATTTTTTTTAATTAATATATACCTACCTAAGTGGCCAATATACGTATAATTTTTTTCGATTTTAAACAATTTTAATTAGGAAAGGTAAATTTGAAGAGATAAGTCTAGTATAGTATGTATACATGAAAAAAATATTAATTGTAATATTTATTATTTAAACTACCTAACCTTCATATATTTTATTATTATATGCTATTAAATATAAAAATTAAAAAATATATATTATTAAAACTTAAAAGTAATATTTATTCTTTGTATAGTAATTGTAAAACTTTAAACTAACCTCAGAAGAAGAAGAAGTTGTGTTGGGCTGTGTTATGAAAAACTCTGTCATTCGCCTAGTTTTTGAAATTATTTCCGTATTTTTTTTTTATCTTTTTCTTTTGCCAATTTTCGTTTATCTCCACCACTCATATAAACTCCCTTTAATTTGTGACGATCTTCTTCCATTTTAAATTTTAACACTATTCACTGGTTAACTTATAATTTAAGAAACAAATAAAGTATGTAACTATTGTCTATTGTGTATGCAACTGTTGTTAACTGACGCCTGACATGCATAAGTGCAACGAACAAATAACGATAATTTATTTATCTACAGACAGATGGTCTGTAATGTGTATTTTATATTTCCGAAAACCCACATGTGTATATTTAGAATCACATTTACTAATATTATTACAATCGACGGCGCACACCGATCGCGGAAGGCATAAACTATCTTATCTTGATTTTTAGAGACCATTCATTGTCAATAAACGTAAATACATCTATTATTAGTTAGTAAAATAAAAATTTTTAAATGTCCAAAAGAAATTCAATATTATTTAATTGAATATGTGTAAATATAAATAAAATATTTTTTCTGTATTCTAATTTAAATATCATACAATTGTGGGGCCCGATTGTGGGGCCCCTGGGCTGCAGCCCACTCAGCCCTCCCCTAAATCCGGCCCGGGTTGAATGTAATGAAATTATTAGCCGTAGGTGTTTGACGAATTTGGGGACTAGCGGTGACGTTTGGAACTTGGAATGCAGTGGCGGGAACAAAAACGCATAGATGTGACATAGGCAAAATCATTCGGTCAAAACTCATCTGGTTTACCCGGACCCGCTAAAACGCATGGTGTGGCGAGATCCTAAGGCACATTTGAGCAACTACTATGTCTCTAATATATACTGTAGGTATAGTTCAGTTTTTTAATATTTTTCCATAAAATCTAACAAAACAATAAATAAAATAATAATTATTAATTGTAATGCCCAACAATGAACCTATGAACATCTAAAACATACTAAAGTTCATCAGACACAAAATTATACAAAACCATTTAACCAGAACAAAAACGTAGTAAACAGGAATTGACTGTAAATTTGATACAAAATAAGTGCAATTATTACAATGTAAAAAAAAGGCGGGCAAGTGGGTGTCGCTCAGTGGGTTACAAGTGCGTCACTGTATAATGGATGGTATTACATTTGAATTCATTGATATTATATCATTGTATAAGGAAAACGATTCTGAGTGGAGACGGTATGTCGTTCTAGGTACAAGACATGTTATATACTTATAATCTATGGTATTAAAAAAAAATGACCTATAATGAATTCCAAATTAATCATATCACAATATCCATTATTTACTTATAATGCGTTATACAACAAACCCTGATACTATCGTAGATATAATATATAGTAGTATACTTTAGAAGTTTCAAGTACCCACGGGCCACGAATAATACTATACAATCACAACAAAATAACTAAAATAGTTATTCCAGGTTTTTTATTATGTAATTTCGTCCAAATTTGAATTTAAAATGTCTGTAAAAAATAATTGTGTTCATATATTTTTTAGACTTTTTGGTTACAGTATGAACTATTTTTGAGATTCTTTGTTTTAAATTTGTAATCCTTAGCTATAAAAACTGAACATTTTATAATTTATTAATTACAATGATTGATAATTTTGATAAATTTTGTCAAAATTCGATCTTTAAATGCTTATAAAAAAAAATTGTGCCTATGTATTTTTAATATTTTTCAATCGCTTTTGTAACAATATATCAGGAGTCTTGTATTCAATTTTTACACTTTTTGGCCCAACAGATAAAACTTTATTGATATTTATAGAAAAAAAAAACTAAAAAAAATTGAAAGCTATAAATGCCCGTAAACAGCTCAAAAAGAGTCAAAATATTTTCAAAATTGTATGGTGTATAGGAAATGCTAATATAAACATTCAGTGAAATTTTCATGTATCTACAGTTATTCGTTTTTGAATTACAACAAAATAAGGAAATCGCTACATGAGAAATCGAGTGAATATCCAATGTTGTAAAAATTTGAATTTCAAACGCTCATTAAAATTTAATTTAACTTTCTTATAGACATTTTTTTTTTTTTGATATAGGTAGATAATCTTATAAGGAATCTTGTATTACATTTTCAAATCTTAGATTTAATATGTAATATTAGCGTATAAATATTGTATACACCATAGGTCTACAGAAGACTAAGTAATCCAAATTTAATTATAAATAATAAATCTATGTATTCGTTGTATATATATATAAATATTACTAACTATAATCAAACATCATAGGTACAGTTTATATTGTTTATCTACTTCCTGTAAGCAAAGCTTCAATTGAAGGTAGAAAATTATTATGGTGAATTTAATTATTTTACCATTAAGTAATATTTACATCTAAATATTATATAATAATAATAAACATATGTAACAACGAGAACAAAGAGAAAAAGAAAATATAAGAATAACTTTATTAGAGCCCGGATTTATATGCATTTAAAAAGTGTCAAATATGATGCAAATATGCAAGTAAAAAGTGGCTCAATATGCAATTATAATATGCTATATTATAAACATTATAAAATGTTTTTTTTTTTAAACATATTTTTACACAAAGAAAAGTAGGTACCTAAAAGATATTCTATCAGAAACAAAAGAATATTTAAATAGTTAAACATTTAATACCTTAAAAACCTTAAAAACCAAAATGCAATATTTTATAATCTCATTTTTTTCATATTTTAGATTGTTTAAAATACAATGTCTAATGCCAGGTTGCATGAAACCGAACTTTAAATTTATTTAATGAACAGTATTAACGAGCCGTTAAATATTTTTACAGAAGCGTTTGGGTTGCACAAATCGTACAATAAAAATATATTGGTATTAAACATAATACCGAGGTTAGTGTAGAAATTTAAGTTTATCACAGAAAAAGTGATAAAATCCTATGATCTAGATACTGTATCAACAGCTGTTTGAATTTTTATTTTGAATATGTATAATAACAATAATTGCTAAATTCTAGAAAATTGTGAATTTGTAGTCTACTAGTCTATACTTAATCTTTCTTCGGCGTTTTCGGTTCTGTTGTTTTATACGCATTTTATAACTTTAGTGTTTTTTTAGCAATTGTAATTACCTAAATATTATAAAAAATGTCTGAACATAATATGCACGAGAGTCAGTTAAAACAGAAACGTATGAGAGAAAAAAACTTTACTGAAAAGGAGCTATTAATTGACTTGATATTGCCTTTTAAGCCAATTATTGAAAATATTAAAGTAAGTAGTGTTCTTAATAATATTCCTTTAAATGTGTACATTCAAAACAAGATGTACAATAATATTAATTATGTAGTTATAACATTACTTATAATTATAAATTTATAACTTATAACACTTCATTATAAGTTCATTATATTTTAATTATTTATTTATTCTGTGTTAGACTGATGCATTTTGGAATAACAAAAAGGCTGAGGTATGGTCTGAAATAACTAGCCTCTACAATTTACAACAAACATCAGGCATTCGCATTGACACACAATTAAAAAACTTATATGATACTCTTAAAAGAGATGCTCAATTTTAATTTGTTATTTTGCTCAATATATTATCCAATTTTTGTTTATATTACCTACCAAATACATATTAAATTACATTTAATGAGATTTATAGGAGGCTGCCTCTTAATAATATTATATTACTATCAATATTTTATATTTAATAACATTTTACAATGTTTGTTAATATCTAAACAAATGAAATTATTAGCATTAATTAACTTTGATCCTCTATCAAAAATCTAGCTTATATTGTATTATATATGTATAGCAGGGGCGTATTTAAGGGGGGGCTAGGGTGGGCTAAGCCCCCCCCCCCCCCAAGTTGCTTGAATAGCCCCCCCAACCAATTTTAGTTATATCAAAAAATGTATTTATATTCTGTAAATTTTAACTAGTGTAATAACTTCAGTTGTAGCCAATACAATAATATTTCAAGAAATCTTAGATGGCCGCACTGAAATAGATAAGAAACCGTGATTTTTATCACCAGATTCCACGACTGCATAGCCGTGACTGCATAGTTCGTGGTGACTGCTACCATAGACCTAGTAAAAGGTCTATGACTGCTACCGAAAAATTCTATATCTCTTATATATCATATAATATTTGGTTAAGCGCGAAATTGGCATGGTGATAATACTGATAAAATGATAAGAAGAGAACTATTATCATATTAAATTTTAAATAACGAACACTTAACAGTTGAAGTTGAAATGAGACACGTCTAGTTCAAACCTTTTGAATAGCTTCATTGTCTTCATTGTCGCATATTTACAAAATTACAATGTAAGTACTAGTTTTTACATTTAATATATTTATGTTTATAATAATAATAATATAAGTTAGTATGGTTACTGCATTTGTATTACTTAAAAAGTAATAATATTATAATTAGTATATGTATATTTGTTTGATTAGGTTAAAAACTTGGCTTAAACGTTCAGATCAACCAAGTGTACTTATTCCTAATAATAATGAAGATGAACCAGATGATCCAGATGATCCAGATAATGATGGTAACAAAATATGTTAAATTTTAATAATTCTTACTATAATTATATATGCTCTAATTAAGTCACCATCACTTATCACATGAGTTAATTGTTTTATAATTATTTTATTTAGTTACGAGCAACAATGGTGACATTGAGTTTGAACTTGCTGATAAAGACAGTCAACCACATCAACCTTTACTTGTGTCATTTCCAAAAAAACTATTTGGTAAGCAAAACCGTTCATTTTCATCTAAATACTACAAAGATTATACATGGATAGAATACAGCCAAAACAAAGATTTAGTCTTCTGTTTTTATTGCCGTAACTTTGGTACTAGCTCAAATTCTGAAGAAGTTTTCACTAAAAGTGGTTTTAAAGATTGGAAAAAAATTTCAGAAAAATTAAATAAGCATAGCAAGAGTTCATATCATCTTTTTAGTTTGGCAAAATACAAAGATTATCAGAATACTAAAAAAACTGGTAATGTACATGTACAAATGTCTAATGCTTACAAAGAAGAAGTCGAAAAGAATCGTAAATACATGCTTATGATAATTGATGCAGTCTTATTTTTAGCACATCAGGGCTTAAGCTTCAGAGGTCATACTGAAAACAAAGAATCCCTTAATCAAGGTAATTTCAAAGAAATATGTGGTATGTTAGCAACTTATAATCCATCATTTGCTAGTAAAATGGAAACATCATATTTTAATTACACATGTCCTTTAGTTCAAAATGATTTAATAAGTATAACAGCTGGTTTGGTGAGGTCACAAATAGTACAAGAAATAACAGAATGTGGAATGTATGCTTTAATGTGCGATGAAGCCAGGTCATTCAAAGAAGAACAACTTACTATCTGTGTAAGATACACAAAACATATGGTGGTTCAAGAACGGTTTTTGTCTTTTGTTTTATGCTCTACATCAAGATCTGCAGCTGGTATTTCAAATACCATACTTGAAAGTTTAAAAACTCTAAATATTGATCAAGTGCCTATGATAGGTCAATCGTACGATGGCGCTAGTGTAATGGCAGGCCATATAAACGGAGTTCAAAAAAAAATTAGAGAATTTCATCCAGAAGCAATTTTTTTCCATTGTGTTGCACATAAACTAAATTTAGTTATAGTAGGAATGTGTAAACATGTAAAAAGCTCAGTTTTATTTTTTAATACACTAGAGTCCTTGTATATTCATTTTTCTAGACCATCTTCTCATCACAAACTAATAAATATACAAAAACAATTAGGCATTAAACCAAGAGAAATTATGCAGATAAGTGATACAAGGTGGGCATGTCGTTTTGAAAATTGTGATATGGTAAAACAATATTATGGTTCTATTTTAGAAGTTTTAGATACTGAAGTTGAAGAAAATAATGATTTTAACTGTGTTGAGGCTAGTGGAATCTTAAATAACCTAAAAAAGGGTCATTTTGTTGTTAACCTTTTCATTTTTCATGAAGTACTGAAGTATATAAACATTTTGAGCAATAATCTCCAAAGTAAGTCTATGACTTTGGGTAAAGCTTTGGATATCATAAAAAGTGTTACTAAGACATTAGAGGACAAACGAAACGAACAATCATTTCAATGTTTGTGGGATGCATTGACAGAATTTTCTGAAAATTTTGAAATTAGTCTAGATACTCCATCCAATTCAAAAAAAAAAAAGAAAAGTTTTTGAAAATTCTTTACTTAAGGATAGTATTGTTACATCTACAGTAGGAACAGATAATTTTGAAGAACAAAGTAAAACACCAGAAGCACATTGGAGAAGTCACTCATATTATGAGATTCTAGATAGCATAATTCAAGGATTGAATAGCAGGTTTTCAAGTGAAAGTTTATCTATTGCGAATGCTCTTGATAGTTTCTTAAAACTAAATACTAATGACTCTGACCCTTTTATTAACCACTATCAGAAGTTACTTAAAATTGATTCTGATCTACTAAAAGCAGAAATGATGGTAGCAAAAAATTGCATATCAAAAGAAGAATGGGATTTTGATGAACTAATAAACATTGCTAATGAATCGGTACTACCAAATTTAAGAAAAATGTTAAAAGTAGCATTAATATTACCTGTTACTACAGCTACTTGTGAGCGTTCCTTCTCTGCTATGAGGAGAATTAAAACCTGGCTGAGATCTAGAATGGAACAAAATCGTTTTGATAATTTGGCAATACTAAACATTGAAAAAGATTTACTGAAGAACTTAAACAAAGAAAAAATTCTTGATGAGTTTGCCAAAAAGCCAAGAAAATTAAAATTAAAATTCTAATATTAGGTATGTAATGTAATTTGTATGACTACTATGACTATATTTTAAATCTAATGACAAAATATTACTATTGTACATATATCTATTTGAGAAATTGTTTTATAATATAATATTACTTATATTACCTATATTAATTGTGAATTGCTATGTTGTATTCAAATTCGTTCTTATTAATGAATTATTTTTAATTGAATAAACTAAAAAGTCTTAATTAAATAGTGTTACTTTAATTATAAATAAACAAATAATCATATAAAAAAATATAGGTAATAACTAAAAGTAAGAATTTTGCTTGAAATTTTCATAGGGATTTAGCCCCCCCTGTTTTAGAACCCTAAATACGCCCCTGATGTATAGGTTATCTTTAAATTTAATATTTACTCTGCAAATTTAAAGAGGTATTTTTTTAATATCATAGGAAATGCTAGTTTAATAAATTAATTAAAGAAAACTGTTAGAATAAAGCATTAATATAATTTTAGTATAGTTTATAATATATTTATATTTAATTGTAAAAATTAATTATTAAATAATAAATATAAATTTTTTATCTGGTTTCTTAAGTGTCAGATAGACGATAGTAGGACCATTGTTCGCACCGACTCTCCCACTTTGTGAAGGCCTTTAATAAGATTAATTTTAACTCATCCAAGATATTTTGTTCAAAGTTAACCTCATTCAACTTTAATTATAATTTATAAGTCCTCAGTATATTTGTATATTTACAATGTTTAGGTTCAAATGTACAAAACAGGCGGTGGATCAAATACTAACCTTTTATCAAAAACCACTGAAAAAATTATTGGCTTACTAGGAGACCAAATGGATCCATTAATTAATTCAGTTGATTCTGATACTAATTACAATGACGATAAGTACCTACAGTAGATTTTGATAAGACTTTGACATTCAAACTGATGAATTTCATCAAAATCTAGATGTTCCAATAGCAGTCACACAAAGAAATGGTATAGACAAAAGAAATTAATTGTCTCTTAGGTAATTTATTAAAAAAGTGTACTATTCAATTTATTTGTATACTTTTTTCTAACACAAATATTTCTACTCTTTTGTTGTAGGTTTTTTGAAGATTGAGACATATATTACCTACTTTTAAATCTAAATTTAAAACCTGGCTATCATGGAAACCAATTATTGTCCTAAATCTAATAATAAGTATAAATAATTTAGATTATAATGTATTTTATTATATTATTATTATATTTTATTTACAACAAAAACAATTGAATTATGTATTATGTATACATTTAAAATAAATTGTTTATTACTGTGTAAATATAAAACAAAAACAAAAACAAATAACTGAAAAAATTAGAGTGTATCGAAAGGAAGTATCGATACTTTACTTATATCGATAATATCGGAACGTCCCTAAATACCACGCATTGCTCCACGCCGCCGTGGAATTCCCCATTAAAACGCAAACGAATATTATTCCAGACAATTCTATTTTTATAATTATTCCTAATTCCTATTGCTGTATTGAGTTATTTTGGTATTTACTACAACTGTATGGTAGATACTAGATCTTCGTCATTTCTCATTTTAAATTTGATTTGATTTGACTGTTGTTGTAGTATTTGAATGTGTTTTATTAATTATTTCAATATTATAAAGCAAAACATTTCTATCTTAAATGGCTGGACGAAAATGTGTTATTGAACCGTCATTGGTTATCGATGCTGTAATTTTCTTTAAGGAATCAGTTATTATTACCGACGAA